AAATTCTTGTTGTAAATGCAACCTATGTAAAAAAGGAAAACTTTTTATAAATTGGTTTATTAGTATTGTAGAAAGCACATTAAGAACAATTGCCACATCCCAATTACCTTAGGTGGTTTGAAGGGGTAATCTGTTGGGAAATGAATTGTCAAGAAAAATACTCCACCCTGATATGGACTATCATTCTGTTAATGAAAAGAAAAGTGGGATTAAAATGAGTAAATTATATCAACTATTTTTTCTGAAATTAATCTGAATACTTACTGGCCCCATTATTGTAGCTTGCCAATGGAACACTGAAAAAGAACAAGAAAAAAATCACCTTGTAGTAATATTCACATTATATCTTTACCATAGCAACGCATCATTCCCTATCTGATCCAAACTGATTTATAAGTAATATGATAATTACTATGGGAAGGATGAGGAACCTGAATCAAGCATGAGAATTAAGAGAGAAAAAAATGATCATGCTTGTAATCCCAGCATTGTGTGAGGCTGAGGCAGGTAGACTGCCTGAGCTCAGGAGTTTGAGACCAGCTTGTCTCCACTAAAAATAGCAAACCTAGTCAGGTGTTGTAGTGGGTGCCTACAGTTTCAGCTACGCAGGACACTGAGGCCAGGGAATCGGCTGAGCCCAGGAGTGTGAGGTTACTGTAAGCTATGATGTCATGGCACCCTAACTTTGTCTCCAAAAAAATGTACCAATTTATTAGGTGGCACCTGTGGCTCAGTGCGTAGAGTGCCAGCCCCATATACCAAGGGTGGTGGGTTTAAACCCGGCCCCGGCCAAACTACAACAAAAAAATAGCCGGGTGTTGTGGCAGGTGCCTATAGTCCTAGCTAATCAGGAAGATGAGGCAAGAGAATCACCTAACCCCGAGAGCTAGAGATTGCTGTGAGCTGTGATGCCACAGCACTCTACCGAGGGTGACAAAGTAAGACTCTGTCTCTTAAAAAAAAAAAAAAAAAAGTACTGATTTATGAACAAAAAGCATTTATGAATGGTTGAATTAAAGTGTCATAAAAATTCTTCTCAAGGAGGCAAACTTTTTTTTGAGATAGAGCCTCAAGCTGTCCGCCTGCGTAGAGTGCTGTGGCATCACAGCTTATAGCAACCTCCAACTCCTGGGCTCAAGTAAGTCTCCTGCCTCCACCTCCCAAGTAGCTGAGGCCACAGGCACCTGCCACAACGCCTGGCTGTTTTTTTTAGTTGCAGCCATTATTGCTGTTTGGTGGGCCTGGGCTGGATTCGAACGCACCAGCTTAAGTGTATGTGGCTGGTGCCTTAGCCACTTGAGCCACAGGTGCCGAGCGGAGACAAACTTTTTGAAAATGCTTAAGTTTTACCTTTAAGTAGTTCCACAGTCTTAACTGTTGCTCAGGCCTTACCCCACAGGGTAAATAATTTCCTCAAAACAATTACAAATACTAGAGTCCTTTTAGGCTTGGCACCTGTAGCTCAAGAGGCTAAGGTACCAGCCCCATATATCACAGCTGGTGGGTTTGAATCCAGCCCAGGACTGCCAAACAACAACTACAACAAAAAAATAGCACGGCGTTGTGGAGGGTGCCTATAGTCCTAGCTACCTGGAAGGCTGAGGCAAGAGAATCGCTCATGCCCAGGAATTAGAGGTTGCTGTGAGCTGTGACACCATGGCACTCTACCCAGGGCGACAATTTTAGGCTCTGTCTCAAAAAAAAAAAAAAAAAAATAAAAAAAATATATATGTATACACACATACAAACACACACACATATATATATATAAATAGGGCAGAACTGTAAAG